AAAAACTGATCCAAAGTACAAATAAATAATTAATGTTCTGTTTTATAATAGAAAGCCCAAACAAAACAGTCCATGGTTTCAAGAATGGTGATGAAGTACAGTTAAACACTGTTTTAAAAATCTCCTTTGCAATAGAGAAATTTGTAAGTAGGGAAAGTGAGCAGACAGGAAATTGAAAAGTTATAGCTGAATTTATCTCAAAGCAGTCAACTAACTACCTCCAGGAGATGGAAAATAATAAATATATACATATATATAAGAAGAAGGACTTTATAAAATGTTCTCAAATTCAGAGTCCTGGCTCCAGAGACAGAATGACAGAATGGCTAGGGTTGGAAGGGACCTCAAGGATCACGAATCTCCAACCCCCCTGCCACATGCAGGGCCGCCAACCTCCTCATTTAATGCTAGACCAGGCTGCCCAGGGCCCCATCCAGTCTGGCCTTGAACACCTCCAGGGACGGGGCATCCACAACCTCTCTGGGCAGCCTGTTCCAGCATCGCACCACTCTCTCTGTAAAGAACTTCCCCCTGACATCCAACCTAAATCTCCCCTCCCTCAACTTAAAACCATTTCCCCTCATCTTGCAGTTATCAACCCTTTCAAAGAGTTGATTCCCCTCCTGCCTGTAGGCTCCCTTTAGGTATTGAAATGCTGCAATGAGGTCACCCCACAGCCTTCTTTTCACCAGGCTGAACAAGCCCAGCTCCCTCAGCCTGTCTTCATAGGGGAGGTGCTCCAGCCCCCTGATCATTTCTGTAGCTCTTCTCTGGACCCTTTCCAACAGCTCTCTGTCTTTCTTGTACTGGGGGCTCCAGACCTGGACACAGTATTCCAGATGGGGCCTCACAAGAGCAGAGTAGAAGGGAACAATCACCTCTCTGTCCCTGCTGGCCACCCCTCTTCTGATGGAGCCCAGGATACCATTTGCCTTCCAAGCCACAAGGGCACACTGCTGGCTCATATTAAGTTTTTCATCTATCAAGACCCCCTGTCCTTCTCCACAGGGCTGCTCTCAAGGACTGCTCCTTCCAGTCTGTATGGATGCCTGGGATTCCTCCGGCCCAAGTGCAAAACCCTGCACTTTGCCATGTTGAACCTCATCAGGTTCACCCGGGCCCACCTTTCTAGCCTCTCAAGGTCCCTCTGAACGGCATCCCTTCCTTCAACCGTGTCGACCGCACCACTCAGCTTGGCGTCGTCAGCAAACTTGCTGAGGGTGCACTCAATTCCGTCATCAATGTCATTGATAAAGATGTTAAAGAGCACGGCCCCAAGACAGACTCCTGGGGGACGCCGCTCGTTACCAGCCTCCACCTGGACACGGAGCCATTGATGACCACCCTCTGTCTGCGGCCTTTCAACCAGTTTCTTACCCATCGAGTGGTCCACCCATCAAATCCATGTCCCTTCAATTTGGAGATAAGGATGTGGTGGGGGACCGTGTCAAAGGCCTTGCTCAAGTCCAGGTAAATGACCTTGGTTGCCTTTCCCTTGTCCACCAATGCCGTCACTCCATCATAAAAGGCCACCAGATTGGTCAAGCATGACCTTCCTCTGGTGAAGCCGTGCTGGCTGTCACGGATCACACGCCCTTTCCTCATGTGATCAAGCATGTTATCGAGGATGATCTGTTCCACGATCGTCTTTGAAGAGTAGCCAGCTCTCCTCAACATCTTTAAAAACAAAGACAGCATCCCAGGTGATCTCAGCCAACAGTCCATTGAACAGCTTAAAGTTCGCTCTTCCAAAGTTCAGGGTCCTGATGCCACTCTTCACCAAGCCCACATCCCTCGAGATCGCAAGCTCAAACAGGGCGTGGTCACTGCAACCCAGGCTGCCTCCAACCTTAACACCATTAATGATTTCCTCTGCATTGGTGAGCAGCAGGTCCAGCAGTGTTTCACCTCTGGTCGGTCTGTCCAACACCTGGACCAGAAAGTTACCATCAACACATTCCAGGAGCCTCCTAGATCTCTTGCAACTCGCCATGTGGTCTTTCCAAGAGATATTCAGATGGTTGAAGTCCCCCATCAGGACAAGAGCCCGTGAGCACGAAGCCTCCCGCAAGAAAGCCTCATCAACAGTCTCCCCTTGATCATGTGGCCTGTAGTATACTCCTATCACCAGCTGGCTTTTGTTAGACCCATCCCTAATTCTAACCCACAGGCTCTCAGCCTGTTCCTGACCATTTCTCAGAGGGAGCTCCTCACAGTCTATCCACTCTTTGACATAGAGGGCTACTCCCCCACCCTTCCTACCTAACCTATCTCTTCTAAAGAGCTGATAGCCCTCAATGGTGGTATTCCAGTTATGGGAGACATCCAACATCTTCAAATCTTAATCAAGAAAACCCTTTTATAAGCTCTTTCACAACTCATTTCTGGTTATTTCATCTTGCAAATGGCTCTCATGAATCTTGAGGGTCTTAGGAGACCAAAGAAGTTTCGTTTTGCGTTCTTCAAATTAGAAACTTATTGCAGTCTTCAAGTCAAATATTGAAAAAGTCAGTCTTAAAGAATGAAGTATGTTAAGATTTAAACTAGGATGGTTTTCCATATTTCATTTTATATTAATTTTACAAGTCACAAAATAACAGGCTGTTGTTATAAATATATATATAAGATGCAGACAACTCCCTTAATGCCTTTAAAAGTCAGTGCTTATGATTCAGCCCAGGCCACACTGTGCAGACACGACTCCAGTAAATTTTAAAGTCAGTAGGTATGTGAAATATTTTTGTAGAAGAATTTTATGACATCTTGAAAATGCAAAAAGCAAAAGAAAACTAAAAGAAGTTTCTTGTTAATTAAATACCAGTCCAGAAGGAGCATCACAGGAGGAATTAAGTTGCCTGAATTCAATACAAACTTATTCCCTTTTGACGCACACATCTGCCAGACAGAAAGAAAAAAACGCTGCACATTTTGTTCCAAAACCATATATAAGTTACTCCCCCCAGCAGTAAATCTACTCTTCCCCAACGGTCTGTCATCCTCATTTGTGATGAAAGTCACATGACTTCCCTTACACCGTTGCTGCTTTCAGCACTCCACTTTTCCACTACTCTCTTCTGCAAATAAAGCTCTACTTTCAGCTTCATTCTCAACCTTGTCACAGCTATTACAATGGTATGAAGAGTTATTTCATAATGCTTTTGTGAAATCCAGAGTGAATTGGAACCCCCATTTTAACACAGGAGCTGTGTAATCTTGTGAAAGTCAAAACAGGGCTGATTTTAAATAATCCTTCATTAATGGAGAAAATTGCAGAGCACCCAGGAAAATGACATGCATACCTAGTGGAAGGAGAAAAACAGTGTTATTCACGAGTTCTAAAGAAATAAACTATGAATGCAGTATGCATCACAAATGAAAAAATACAAGATGGAGAGGAGGACTTTGCTATCAGCACCCTCAGCCCATGGACTCTGGAGGGGATTTGCCGTGTTGCACAGATGCACAGTTCTCCTTTGCTGCCCAGCATCAGGTGCCTGCATTCTAGAAATGGCTTTCAAAAGGCTGTGACTCTTTGATCTACTTGTTATGCCTTCCCAAGAATTAACCTGTAAACTGAATTATTCACAGAGAAATTGAAAATTCAGAAAGTCTCAACGTGTATCGTAATGTCTGAGTCAGCTGGAATATAAAATAACTGGTTTGGAGGGTGCAGAAGGACATGCTAGTAAACGCTTTCAGACCATGTGAGCACTCCAGATTTTTTTGGCTTAATGTTTGGGGTTTTTTCTTTACATATTTCTAATTTACACTATGCTTTTAGCTGAATACTTCCTTTTGAAATGAAGAATTTCCTTAAAGGTCAAAATTAAATTAAATGTTTCATTCTGTCACTTCCTCTCCCCCCCTCCCTTTTTTTCTGTTAATTTAACACTCCAGAAAACATCAGTGCTCTTTCATGCAGTACACTACGTAGATTATGCACAGTTCTGCTCAGAACTCAGCACCTAAACTGAGCACGCAGAAGTTTGATTGTCTGTTCACCAGCAACAAGAGACAGCCGGAGCTGCATCAGCTGTAGCTCACCATTCCCAAATAAGCAACCTCTGCCTGGAATGTTTTGGGGTTTTTTATTGGTTTATTTTCACCAAACCCTTCAAAAATGCAGCTTTAACATTTAATCTACTGCCTTAGCTTTGCAAAGAGAGGTTTCCTATTCTATTCTAACTCCAGGTAAGAATGCATGCACAAACAGCTGTTCATCAGATAACCTCCAAGTCAAGGCAAATTTTTAAGAACATTCATCTGAAAGAGCCACGCACAAAAATCTGTGTCTGCTTCATAACAATGCTTGGAACACAGCATACAAAGCCTCAGCAGGAAAAAAAAGATAAAAAAAAAAGATATATTATTCAGCATATTTTCCACTTTGTTGCTAAGAAACTGTTGCTTCATTTTCCTATTGCCATTTGCAGAAAAATTCTGATTGTTCATTTGCTACTTTGGTCAACTCATTGTAACAGCTATGTAATTAAAAGGGTATAAAGGAAAACACTGGAAAGTACTCACTGTGTTGTCATCATCTGTAAAGTGGCCTCTCCTATTCTCTCCTATAATATAGTGCCTTCCAATAAAATAAAAAAAAATAAATGGATGTACACAGAAAAGATCTTCAAACTTGTTTTTATGTAATGTTTAATATTTGTAACAGAACAAGCTGCATTCCATCTCTTTCCTTAAGAACTAGCAATGTTCTCCTACAGTGTCTAATCTGCTAGCTACTGTCCAAAAAACAGTTAATTGCACTTGCACAAAGACAGAATAACAACAACAACAAAAAGACATTTCTGTTTCTTCTCATACTTTACAGGTATTTGTAAGATTTCTGATGTGAGAGTAGGATCTACTAGCAAATTACTTTATGAAGTTTATTTGTATTTTAAAAAAGAATAGGGGTTTTTTGTTGTTGTTTCGTTTGCCCAGGTTTACTAATTATTCATACACATAAGGCAGAATTTATTTACATTTTTAAGTGGGGATAATAATGTTAAAAATCTCAATGGCATCAGCTCCTCAGCAGGGAGTTCTTCTACACAACATTCTATCAGGAATTTTCTCAACTGTTTTTAATGAGCAGGGAACTGGAAAACATCTCCAGAAGCATGAGTACACCTCTGGAGTACGTCGTAACATGGATCAAATGATACTGGGCATGGTACAAAGGCTGGAGCTCAGTGTAGCCCCAACACTTCCCCATAGGCAGGAAGAATGCATGTGCCCCAGTTCAGGATGTGAAGGAGTTTGCTTGTGTGGACATAGTGAAGCCACATCAGTTACCATACCTCAGAGCCAGATGGACACTGTTCCACTCCTAACAAAGAAAGCCAGTGAGTCTAGCTCCTTGCTATGACAACCATGCACAAGATCTGCCATAAATATGTCAAATCTTATATTAAAACTAACAACTTTTTGTCTTTGAGTAATCTTTACTCACTGGTTGCCATAGAAACTTCACATTTCCTACCTAAAATTACTGTTGGCCAGTTTACTGAATATCTTTTTGTGCCAATGTTGTCCTTTACTTTAATTCATTCATTCTTTCCTGAAAGTCAAAGGCTGTATTCACACCTACCCAAATCCTAGGTTAAACTGAGCACATGGATATCATCTGTAGAGTAGGCTCTTCATTTACCTCGTCACCCTTACAGCCCTCTCTGCATCTGCTGCAGCTTTACTTCATCTTTCCAGAATAACAGTGACCAGAACAATATCTAGTATTACATAGTGCAATCTCAGAGAAGTCATACCTTCCGTGAAGAACTGCACAGGTATTAGTTTAGCAAACATACCACATTGGCAGGTCATAGTTATCTTGTAATCAGTTAATACACAAGGTCCACAATAATCTAAAACTAATTAACTCCTGCCTTAATAGTCTAAATTCTGAGTATTAGCCTTAGCTGAATGGTGCTGCACTTCTCAGGAGTAAAACCATCCCATTATTCTGGTTCTCCAAGTCCTTTCAATCTAGCAGGTAACTCAATTCCCTTCTGTATTAGTAACATTGTGACATCAGAAAATTTAATATTGTATCACAGTTATTAATGAAATAGGATTAGTTCCCAAGACTTAAGAACCTCCTTAAGTAAATTCCTTACATCTGATAGGTTAATCTATCAATCTACGCACCAGTGTGCTCCCTCAAGTGCATTTCATTCCCTCTTTAGCTTATTCTTTCTATCTCAAAATTCTCATCTATTCCTTGTTATTTTTTATATAAAAATATTTTGACCGTGTCCAGATATAATAGATGAACTATATTTTTCTGTCCAGAAAACAATCTATCCTACCTCCTTTCTTCCTCCCTCAAAGATAAGAGGACAAGTAAAACAGCCTAATTTCACATTTCCACTTTGTTAAGCAGTATTTTATTTCATTCCTTATCTTCATTATTTCCTTTATTACTCTTTCCTTCAAAATACATTCTCAAGTACCTACTGCATCTGACTTTATTTGCAACAACTGCAGATGTTTCCCTCATCTTAAATGAAGACTCCTCTGCTATTCTTTAGTCACTCAGAAAGATCTTAACCTTGAAAAAGTGTTTTTCTATTGTAACTACTGTTAAATGTGCCAGTGCTCTTAAAACTCATGCTTGGAGATTATCTTGTCCTGTTGTTCTGAGTCTATCAGCTGAAGAAAAAGCCCTATGTCTTTGGCAAAGTGTATTCTATACCAAAAATACTTCAGGTAAATAAGCAGATCAGCTGCAAAGTTAAAAAGATGGAGAGAGAGGAAAATAAAAAGAAGAAAAAAGAAAACACCAACAAAAAACAGAAGTGCAGTCAAAGGATTATATGCTTTTAAATAAATAAATTGGTGAGACATAGGAAAAAGGTTTCAGAATACTGTAGAAAGAAAAATCCAACACAAAATTCTCCCCCAGTTCACATTCTCTCTCTCAGAGCTATTATTTTTATGGTGCTATGTCTTAATGGATCTTGTCAGTTCTAGAGTGATATTCTATACCTTTTAAATATGGAAACAAAGGCCTTGAGCGCAAGAAAACCAAGATTTTACATTCCCACCCCAGGACCAGGGCAACAGCCTCACCTGACATTCCAGAAAAGACAGAAGATCCGATTCTACAGCCTGCAAATCACAAGAGATTCCAAGTACCCCACAGGCCAGAGACTACATTTCTGTCATGCAAAATGTGCCATAAGGTCAGTATCCATATAAATCATGATACGGTGACATTCTTTTATTAGCTGTCGTGGCTAATAAGATCAGTTGTTAAGCAGATACTGATCTCAGTGCCTGCTTAACTACTGATCTTCCTGCAAGAGAAAGAGAAAAATCAAAAATACACTAAGGCAGTACAGATTTGATTACTAACTGAAAACCCACATCAGTTGCTCAGACACAGATTGAGCTGTACCTAGCCCTGAATTTGGCTACCATACCACTGATCCCAGAATTAAAGGTATTGGTGGAAGATATCTCTGGCTTGACCTGCTCTAGGAGAACTGATATGAGTCTTACAAACATACAAGGGGCACGGTTCATAACTATTACTAATACTAGCTATTATTTCCAATTAACAGTTTCCTGGTATTTATGTAACTGCTGATCTAAAGAAGTCTTAAGATGAAAAGCAGATCTTCAGAAGCTTTGTTTCTCACTGGCATTTTAACCAACAGCTCACTCTGCACTGTAAGTAACAACTGTATTTACCAACTGTGTAACAGTGAACTTTCCTGCAGGAAACAAATGTGCATGTCTTGTAGAGGAACCCTTGTCACTAAATACCAAAGCTGTGTCATTCTGAGGTTATACTCAGGAAGATTAACGTTACTGTAAAACTAAGCAAACATTTAGTTTCCCCAGTTATGCCTTTTCAAAAGGACTCAGAACCTTAATGCCTCTTATACAAGAAGTTGATACCATGGCAGTAAGGAGAGTTGCTACCTCTTTTGTAGACAGACCATTCTGAACTTCAGTGCTCATATAAATAGTAATCTGCCTTCTTTCAAACTAGGATTTAGGGACTGTCCCTCTGTCTACAAATAGCACACAGAAATCAGCTGCATCAACAAACAGATTTTTGAGGGAAAAAAATCTCAAAAGCTCCTACGCTCTGTAAAGATATGTCCAAATTAAATTAAAAAGCAAAATTCAACATAGATTGGCAAGTCATTATTCTGTTAAATCTTTCCTTCCAGATAGAGGTACAAACTCTGAAACTATTTAAGGACAGATAAATTAGCAAGTATCCTACTATCCACATTTTATCTAACTCTTTATTCAGAAGTCAGCCACATCTAAATTTGAGAGTAATCAATTTCTTTTGTTTCTGCAAATTTGTTTTTGCTGAAATCCAGTAAAAAGGAGAAATAAAGCAGTAAAACTCTAAAGTAGGAAAAATTTGAACCTAAGTGATAAGTTTGAACCTACACAATCTGGAGAGAAAGATACTTTGAATGAAGAAACACTTAATAAAGACTGCTGAAACCTCTCATTAAGGTTGGCTGGGAAGCTCCAATCAAAACTTCTACCAGCTCACTAGCACCAGCAGTTATCAACATCTCCAGTTCACTATACATAAATGAGGTTTGCAGGTTTAACTATATCAAATCCTGCTTCCTGAACTTGCAGATTCTCACTGGTTTTAACTCAGTTTCTATATAACATGAGGAGACAGCATCAAATTTCAATTGCTCTTAGGAGTATATGAATTGGAAGCAACTCCCTGTTTTATGAATTAGCAGATCCGCGTTAATGAGGATTATCTGGAACTGAAACTATCCTTCAAATGACTTAATGTTCTTATTTCTGTCCTTGGCCTTAACAGCTTTTTAAAAAAGCTTTCAATTTTCCTATCTTCTCACAGAACCAAGAAACACCTGCAGATACCACCGAGAAGAAATAATTGTAATTGCTGCTGTAATTGCACCTAAACCTAATACCCTAGTCTCTCCAACCTCAAAATATGTGACTTTTTTTCCTCTCTCCCTCACGTCTCATATAAAATAAAGCCTCTCAGGACAACTGCCAATCTTTTAACAGAAATAAAATCTCCCACGATCATAGTAAACAATGCACAATGCCATCTCCCCTCACCAAGCTCAAGCTGCAAACAGCATTTGATCACACCAGAAAAAAAGACCCATGCTGTGACCTCGGCGGTACATTTGCTTCTATAGCTGCTGGCAGCTGTTCTCCAGATCGCATTACTTCACCTCAGTGCTAACTCAAAACAGGGAATAATGGAGAACGCAGCAACACATAAGCAAAACAGAGTGACAGGGTTCCTACTGAAAGCGGCAATGACACGCAACCTTAGCTGCTAATTTTAGAGCTGAAATTTAAGAGGCCCTTTATGCATTTTCACTTGAACGAGACCTATTCTGCACACAACGATACAGAAATCATCTATGGGGATGTTGATTATATTTTGAAAGAAAAAAATTAATCTGCAGGAAGGCAAGTTTTCCCATACTTCCTTTGTCAAGGCTACACCAGCCCGCCTAATGCATGCTTTAGTATAATTTATGCAAACAGCACCATAGCTACCGCTGTACTCGCAAAGCACGGAAGAGGTGCGTAGGTACGGGCACGCAGGACCCACGCTACGCTGCGGGCAGCGCGCCGCCGGCCCACGCTGCACAAACGAGCGCATGCGCACTACGCTCCACCTCCCGCCGTCCCCAGGGCGCACGGCGGGCGCCGCGCAGTGACGTCACTTTGTAATGGCGGCGCCCACGGGGAGCTCACGCGGCGGGTGGCGGCGTTAACGGCAGCCGAGGCCGAGTCCTGATCACGCCCTGACCCCGTGACTGTGGTGAGCGCTGGGCCAGGGGGCGGTGGGGGCACCTCGAGCCTCCTGCGGGTGTCGTGCGTTGATCTCAGGGGAGCTGTAGCGCCTGGCGGCGTGCGCGAATTGGTGCCGGTGCGTCATGGTGGGTTTCCGAGCAGGGCTACGTCTCTTCCCCGGGCCCCGAGAGCGCTCCGCTGGGCTCTGTCTGCCCGTCCGCTGGGCCACCCGCGGCGCTGCCAGAGGGCTAATTTCCACGCAGATGTAATGTGAAACGGGATTTAGGGCGCTCAGTACTGGTGATTTGTCACGTAGCTCTCGTGGGGCGCACGCTGCGGTTGTTCTCAATTCCGATGAGCTTCACTAAGGGCAAGTGTCGTGTCCTACACCTGGCGAGGAGGAATAACCGCATGCATCAGTACACGTTAGGGGCTGACCTGCTGAAGCGTAGCTCCCCTGAGAAGGTTCCGGGGTCCTAGTGGACAGCAGGATGACAATGAGCCAGCAGTATGCCCTTGTGGCCAAGAAGGACAGTGTCATCCTGGGGATGTTAAAAAGAGCACAGCCAGCAGCTCGAGGTGATCAGATGTGATGAAGCCCTGTCCCCAGAGATATTCAAGGCCAGGCTGGATGGGGCTCCGAGCAACCTGATCTAGCTGTGGGAGTCCGTGTTCATTGCAGGGGAGTTGGACTAGATGACCTTTAAAGGACTGTTCCAACTCTAAGGATTCTGTAATTTTATCCTCCCCCCTCTTCTCTGCCCTGGTGAGGCCACATCTGGAGCACCATGCCCAGTTCTGGGCTCCCCAGCCCCAAAATACCAGGGATCTCCAGAAAGCCACAGAGATGATGAGGGCCTTGGAAGTAAGAGACCTGGGACTACGTAGCCTGGAGAAGACTAAGAGGGGATCTCCTCGCCGTCTATAAATATCTAAAGTGCAGGAGTCAAATGGATGGGGCCCTGTATTTCTGAATAAGTAAGTATTAAAAGTAGAAGATGAAAAAGGAGATGTTCAGTACTTATGGTGCTGAAACAAGAGCAAGTTTTAGGTTGTTTTTAAGTTATGTTCAAGGCTTTTCATAGTCAAAAGTTTTTTAAAAAAGGAAAATAATTATGCTTTGTGTTTTATGCTTCTTTTTAGTATTCTCAATGTAATCCTCATTCTTTTGATCTGATGCCCTGTTTTGTTTTTATTCCCTCCCAGTGTCTTTTTAGGTAAAAATGAAGTTCAGAAGAGGAGGGAGATTTACACCTTCTGCTAAACTGAGGCGAAAGGGTATTGAAGTATTGGGAAAATGGAAAACTGTGGAAATCGACCCCAATCTACTTGTTGATGAGCAGTTTAAAGATGTAGTGTGTTTAGAGGAGCTTACGGAGTACAAGCTAGTAAGTTCTGACAAAGTGGGGAAAGGAAAGAAGCAGAAGAGAAAGTCTGAGGATCTTTCAGAAGAAGGGAGCGAGCAGGAGGAAGAAGCTGTTGTCCCTCCCAAAAAGAAATGCAAAGGTTTGAGAACCAGAGTAGATAAAAGCGATGATACTGGTGCAACAGAAGTTGACATGCCAGTTGATGAGGGGAAGAGATGTGAAAAAATAGTCAAAGAGGCAAATCGTAGGGACTGTGGGCATATAGCTGAGAGCACTTCTAGCACAAAAAATGTTGCAAAGAAAAAGAAAAAGAAAGAGAAGGTAGTTAAAAATAAGACTTCTCAAGCTCAGGATGCTTTTCCACCAGTAACTACATCTAAAAAAGTAAAAAATTGGACAACAGAAGTTTTGTCTACCTCAACTGATCACAGAGCTGATGTGTCTGCATGGAAAGACCTGTTTGTGCCTCAGCCAGTGTTGAAGGCCTTGAGTTTCCTGGGGTTTAGTGCTCCAACTCCTATTCAGGCGTTAACTTTGCCTTCTGCCATCCGGGATAACATGGACGTTCTTGGCGCTGCAGAAACAGGTATGAATCTGTTAGCCTGGTAGTACATACAGTAAGGTTTCTGTTTCTCCTCTTCAAATGCAGCCTGTTAACAATTTCTGTATGCAAGCTAAGGGTTTGTAGATTCTGCTTGTCCAATAAATTAGTAGTAGTTCATTGTAAAGATAGAATATTATACGCTTGTCAGTTACGAAATTTTAATACTATACTTTGTAGACTGTGCAAAGCTTTGAATTCCCAATGAGTTTTTATTCTTTTGACAGAAGTCTCTTTGTTATTTCTCAAATTACCTCTTATTTTAAGAGCTGCAAAGTGATATACTACAAAGCACAGAATTAAGCAAACAGACAGTCATATTTTAACAGTACAATTTTATGGATGTCCCTTTGTCAAGGCAAGGCAAAGAACCAGGCTTCTCCGGGTATGACTTAGTACTGGCTTGAAGCAGCAAATAGGAAGGACCATGTGCAGAGCATTAGGCACTGTGAGTATAGCCTGTGATATCACAGCATTACTGTAGCAAAACAGGCTCACCAGATGCCCTGTCTTTGGACTTGGGCTGTAAGTTGTTATCAGCTTGTGTTTCTCTCAGCTTGTATTTGAAGCATTACGTTATTCTACTGACTGTAGAGGTACAATCTCATGTCCAAATGGCCATCTGCTGCCTTTTTTCTTTGAGCATTGTTAGTTTTGTTTGCCATTTGTTATAGCTTCTGTTTTACCTAACAATACTGTGAAGTTTCTGAGCTGCTAACTTTTTTGCTGCTCACACTTTAATTTTGTCTACTTTTACATTGCAACCTGTTTTCCCATTAAAAAAACCTAAAAATAGGAAGCACAAATGCAGTGTGTGTTGCTTAAAGATTTCTTGCACGTTCTTCTCATCTATTACAGTTGCCTTATCTCACTGTAAAGCCATTTACTGTTCTTATTACCTCTTACTGTTAGAGGTATAGTTACTAATTTAATATGATATGCAGTCATTTGCATTTTTATTTTAATTAGCCAAGCTGGTCTTATTAGGTTTTAATAAGATTGGAAAGCTCCACAGGAAGTGTTTTTGAAAATGAAACTGAAAAATTAAATGGTGTTTTTGTGCTGTAAAAAGGTGCCATTTTGGCAGTGCAGGAAAACAAATCCCTCTCATCTCTAGCTACGGAATAGAATAGAAAGCACAGTTAGTGGTCAGCTGTGCTTTTACTGTCCTAATGTTGCATAACCCTGAGCTAGTTTGCTCATTTCTTTTGCTCTTTTATGAGAGAAAGTCTGGTTCCCTTCTGAGAGCCCAATGGGTTATCAGCGTTCCTGCAGAAACTTGAGATGTGAGCAATTGTCAAAGTGTTGCAGATGGGAGAAACTGAAACAGTCCTTTCCACATCCTGTAGCTTCCCTCAGCACTGGGTCTGAAGGAGGACACTGACTGATGAAAGAAGTATTCTTCACTTTTTGGTAGCACCACAGGAGACAATAGCAAGATCTTGATATGGTGGTGGATCCCTGTGGGGATTAGGCACAGAAAACACAAAGGTTTCTTTCTTTTTGCAGTGAAGCTAACTAGTTCTGTTCATTACCATCTATTTATGGTGAAGAAATAGTGAAGATTTTGAGTTAAGAAACCAGATTTTATCTGTAAAATATTACAATCTAAAATCATGAAAAAGGATGTGCATTAGCTTATGTTCTCAGATCTGGGGGCACAAAGGTAGACTGTTCTGGTTTTGCAGATCTGGCTGTGGTGTGTGATCTGTGAAGATAACATGTTCTGTGCAGTGATTAATTTGTGAGCGAATCTATAATCTGCAGAATGGTTCTGATTATCACTGCCATAATCTATTGGGTGCTGCACTGACATTAGCCCCACGCTGATTGCTTTGCATTTGATTCAGGATCACTAATATCAGGGTAGCAGTACTGATATTAGTACTTTTCTCTCAATAGGCAAAATATTGCACTGCTGTATTTGGCAGGCAACTGTGGGTTTGTAATATGGACAAATGCTGCCCAAGGAATTGAGATTTCCAGAGGACAGCTCTCCAGCAGTGGCATACTGCCAGGAGTAGTGTAATAGTGTCTTGAGCTCTGCATGCTTCATTTATGACTAATGAACTGACATTTATGAGAAGCTTAGCTGAGGTTACTTTGTTATCAAGATTCTCCTAACATCTCTGTTGGTGGTAGATAGTTCAGGAAGGAATACGTATCAGGGATGTGACTCACAATTTGGTGCAGTGAACCCTGGAAATTATAGTTGGGATCACTGCTTGTTTTTTTGTTTTGTTTTCTGCCAACCTTCTCTCTGGACTGGCTTATCTATTTTAAATCAAGTTTGTGCATTTTGACTATAAAAATGTGATAGATCAAGAAGCTATAGGCTGGAATATGTCAAAATACAGTCTCAGAAAGTGGTATACGCTGCTGTGAATTAAAGATGGAAGCAAATCCATCAAGTACTTTCTAGTTTGTCCTTGGCCTCATTTGTTATTCCTTTATGTGGAGGCATAGATCAGAACTGTCAATTAGGGCATATATCTCCTTACAGGCATACAGTTCTTTAAAAAGATCTTGACTGTAACTGCAGCTTTTTAAAACTACTTTCATAATACATGAATCTGCCTGGCCCACTATAGATAGGAAAAATACCTGTTCCATAGGAGATACATTGTTGTTGACCTGAAGGGGATGTATCAAGAGAACAGGAGACAAGTTGCAATTGTTGCAAGTTTCAGATTTTCTTGAGAAGAAGAGTTTGTGCCCATTACAGCTGCATGTGTTAAGAACAGTGTGTGTTTGGCTGTTGCTTTTTTCATCTTTTCAAGTAACCTTCATGTTTTGTCAGACTGCTTTACTCTGTTTGTTTGTTTCTTAGGAAGTGGCAAAACGCTTGCATTTGCAATTCCTATGATTCACTCTGTACTGGAATGGCAGAAATCAAATAGCTCAGTGAGGATAAATGACAGTGTTTCTAAAAAGCCCTATCAGCATCATGATGAAATGAAATGGGAAAATGACGATGAAGCAGAAGAACCAAACCATCAGGAGGTTGAAGACAGTGGAGATGAAGATGTTGCATCTTTTGCAGCAGGCTGCGTGAACATGCAGGAAAGTGCTGAATTTGATTCTAGTGATAAAGAACATACTGCTGGCCTCCATAAGAAGAGACCTCTTCTAGGACTGGTCCTTACTCCTACAAGAGAATTAGCTGTGCAAGTGAAGCACCACATTGATGCAATTGCAAAGTTTACAGGTATGTAGACCTCAAGGGTTGCATTCCAGATAGCACCAAGTTTGGGCCTTGGCACTGGTGTTGAGCCAGAATGCATAACATATTATGATGCTATAATGTGATGGAAAGTACAGCAATAATAGTGGAGTGGCACAATCCTAAGTTGCAGCAAATGAAAGCAAACACCAATACAGCAGCTATAGACACAGAAACAAAGGAAGAAAATCTGCTTACCTTTAGAAAGCCTCCAGTAGACAGGGATCTTCAGCAAGATATCTTCACCTCCACTGCCAACCCTTAAATGAGGTCTGGGAAGGGGTGGATCCTGGCTCCACCCCGTCTGGTCACTCAGCTGCATTGCATACACCTGAGCTCCCCTGGGTTGGCCCTGCTTTTCCACCAGGTGCTCAATCACTGTTTCAAGCCCTGACTTAGCATTTCCACTATACACACTTTCTTCCACATCATAAAGTTGGGATAGCATTTAAAGGCCTAAGGTTCCCAGTTGCTAGTATTTGAGACATGCATTAAGATTCTTCAGAGAAATGCATGTGGAAGTTAACAGTGTGGGACATTCTGATTTAAAATATTTTTTGTACAAATAATTACTGACTTGTGCTTTAGAAATAGAATCAGTACTAGATACCCAGCCACAGCTACATATGTATGTGCATGTATAATAATGATAATAAAACCATAAATTTTAAGGCAGATTGGTAGATTATCTGATTTACCTCCAACAGTAGTTAGGCATGTTGCTGGGTAACATATCTGATGAAATCAAATTCATCCTGCTTTTTCCTTTTCCAAATCAAAGGTTAGCACATCTTTAAGTGAATGAGTGAGGATGTGGAAGTACTAAAGATAGGGAGAATTGGGAATTAACTCCCCCGTTCTCCAACAGCAGCAATTGTTTATTCAAAAGGGTATGCAGTGCAGTGAACTGTTTAAGCACATCTTCCTTTGGTGTCTATGCAACCTGCTGTGCTCATCAGTCTGCAGCTGATTACAAGGCTAATTTTAACTCATAGCCTGAAACAATCAATTTATGTCAGTACAGTTCTAATAAAGTGGTGCTATTTGTATACACGAATCTACTGCCCAAGTGATTATATATTTGCTGTAGCCTGAGAGAAACAGTTTTGATGTGTGCCTGCTTTGTCTATAATCAACTCGGAACAAATCCTCACCTAAAAGCATGGAGTTATACAATAAGAAGTAGGGAAGAGAGATGTGAGGTAGCACAGAATCTTGCACAGTAGCACTGAGTTCACCGCATGGGTCAGTATATCCTTTGAAGAAGCAGAGGGAAATAAGCCATGTGTGTGCTATGCACTTCCAGAGCTAAACTCATTCTGTACCTGAAAATTGCTTAAAGCTTACTTGAGGTTTCTGTGCTACCAGTTCAGAGAATCATTAATTGGGGACTGATGTTCTTATTAAAACTAGTCCATAACAAATGAGCAGTTATTAGCAAGACGGACATTTCTCAGTCCTATTCTTAGAGGAATCTGCTGAGTATTCTTAACAGTAACATGCTTATAGAATCATAGAATCATAGAATCACAAGGTTGAACCTACAAGATCATCCAGTCCAGCCGTCATCCCATTGCCATTGCTACCACAATCCACTAAACCATATCCTGTAGCTCCTCTTCCAGACGCCTCTTGAACACTGCCAGGGACGGTGACTCTACCATTTCCCTGGGCAGCCATTCCAGGGCCTGACCACTCTCTGAGAGAAGTTTTTCCTTATGTCTAATCTAAACCTCCTCTGGCACAACTTGTGGCCATTTCCTCAGGTGCTGTTTGTTGTCTGGGAGAAGAGGCCAAACCCCTCTTCATCACAACCTCCCTTCAGGAAGTTGCGGAGTGCAATAAGGTTTTCCCTGAGCCTTCTCTTTTCCAGGTTAAACAATCCCAGCTCCCTCAGCCACTCTCCAAAAGACTTGTGCTCCAGACCCCTCACCAGTTTAGTTGCCCTTCTCTGGACACGCTCCAGGGCTTCAATGTCTTTCCTATAGTGAGGGGCCCAAAACTGAACACAGTACTCGAAGTGCGACCTCACCAGTGCTGAGTACAGGAGGATGATCACCTCCCTGCTCCTGCTGGCCACATTATTTCTAATGTAGGCCACATTATTTCTAATGCAGGCCACATTATTTCTAATGCAGGCTTGTTCATGTGGGTGACAAAATTCTTAAGTACAGTTAATCAAAACTAACAGCTGTGGAGGTCATATATGATTCTTGTTGCTTATGGAAGACAGGTGTGCAAAAGAAAGGTTACAGTATGCACTAGAAAAAGGAATGTTGTTTTTGCTTTGGGTATTTTGGGGCATCTTCCTGAAATAAGAATTGCTTTGTAAAGTTGACAGCATTGCCATCAAGTTTTCAGTGGTGTACAAAACTTCATCAGTTTCTTGGCTGAGAAGCTTAATGCTAATTGCAGTACAGATTTTGTGAGTGGATATGTGTAAAGATACTGATAAATTAAACAAAGACTATTATCTGTATCTCCTAGGCATTAAGACTGCTATTCTGGTTGGAGGCATGGCAGCACAGAAGCAAGAACGTGTACTGAATCGCAAGCCAGAAATTGTAATAGCAACCCCAGGCCGTCTGTGGGAGCTAATTAAAGAAAGACACCCACATCTCTCAAATCTCCGTCAGCTCAGGTAAAGTTGCCTTTTAAACTAACTGCTAAATACTGATCTGGGCTTCACTGCATTGTATGATTAACTGATGAAGCAATTTAAGTTTGTAAGATAACTTATTTCTTTGCCAAAGTATTTTAGTGCAGTGCACAGTGGTTATGTCAAGAGAGGGAAATGTTAAAAAAGTTTGACTTATTCTTTTTGATATAACAGGTTTCTAAATGAAACATGAGAACTACTGAAGCTATGCTAGCACATCTAGCATTCCTTTGGGTTTTATTTGCAGAATTTTCCCTATGTTTAGCAGCAAAGTTTTCTTTAGAAGTATATCAGATTCGTATTTATCTACACAACTCTATTTATACTGTGTGTTCTGTTTGGCAGGTGCCTTGTGATCGATGAGGCAGACCGAATGGTTGAAAGAGGTCATTTCTTGGAGCTGTCTCAGTTGCTAGAAGTCTTAAATGATTCACAATACAATCCTAAACGACAGACTTTTGTTTTTTCTGCCACTCTGACATTAGTCCATCAGACTCCCACAAGAATTTTACAGAAAAAGAATGCAAAAAAGATAGACAAGAAGACCAAACTAGAAATGTTAATGGAAAAAGTAGGAATAAAGGGCAAACCCAAAGTGGTAGACTTAACGAGGAAAGAGGCTACTGTTGAGACTCTGATGGAGACCAGAATCCACTGTGATACAAATGAGAAGGACTATTACCTTTATTACTTTCTTCTCCAATATCCAGGAAGAACTATGGTCTTTGCAAACAGCATAGACTGTATAAAACGCCTCAGTTCTCTCCTCACAATCTTAAACTGTGATCCTCTTCCTTTGCATGCTAACATGCATCAGAAGCAAAGGCTAAAAAACTTAGAACGGTTTGCTGAGCGAGAGAGGTAAGTTGTTTCTATGTTCTACTAGAAAAGAAAAAGAAATCATGTAAAGGGCAAGGGGGAATAGAGGAAACAGCTCTGTTAGAAGAGGAGTGGGTTGGAGAGTCACCTTGGAGGCTGAATTACTCTGCAACCTGTCAGATCATTATTGCTGAAGTGTCTGCTACTTGCCCCATTCTCAGTCATATGCTTTTGTAACCATCCTGCTCTGGCCCAGAGCCTTGGCTCTGCAGCACCTCCATCTCACAAAGCATCAAAAAATAGAACACTTTTTGTTGGTTTAGGCTTCAGATTTGCTTAGATGAATTAGTTTCTCAAGGGTCAAGGTAACCTAGAGCAATGTGATGAAAGAAGGCGGTCAGATTTACCCTGGTCTGCCTATCTTGGCATTAGCCTTTGAGAGTCAGGTTGATGATCTCAGTGCTTCAGTAAACCTGCCGTCTGATTATACTGGAAATTGTACCTTGGTAGCAGACTTGGGCAGGAGAAACAGAGATTGTATTGTCATGACAGATCTGCAATATTCCTTTGCAAAATGTAATATCAATCGCCTTGGCAGAGGCAGACCGAGCATTTTCAGAGTACACTGATTTTCATGGCAAGGGGAAATCTGTGAAACCATCTATAACAGCTGCCTGCAGAATGTATGCCACAGAATTTTCTATTTATTTCTGCTTTGATCCTTGTAGCCATAGGGTATGCAGTCAGATGCCATAAAATCTTAAAAATTCCTGCTGTCTACAGCTAACTCTTTTCAGCTGCTGGGAGATGTATTTATTGTTTTTAAACAGGTTGTTCCATACCCTAGGCAGACTTCTGTCTGTGCAACAGACTCTTTGTAAAAGAATGACTTTGAGAGAAGTCCTCCATTCCTACGGGTGAGGGAAAAATTATCAGAACAAAATTAGCCACTTTAAATTTCAGTTTACTTATTCGAGATCTTATTTGAGTGCAGCTTGGTATTTCAGCCCCCAGAAGTGTTAATTAAATCTTTAATGTTAATAATAATGTGATTTCTTCAACTAGTGAAACATGTAATAGTCTTTCTGTCCTGCCAAAGGACCAACTGTATCATTAATGGTATGATCATATTAAACTAATCACACTTTCAAATTCAATCTGGGTGGAGCACTGAAAAATGTACTGAAGGAGAGCTTTTACCCCCCTACCAAGTAGTTGGATTTGTTTGTTGAATAGTGATTTGTGCTAGCTGCTATGAATTGGGAGAGAATAAAAGCATAGGAAAACAGGATCCAGCAGAGTAGGGAATTTCATTATTGAAAACAGAATGAACCCATTGAAGGTAACATTTGCATTATTTTTGCGATTTCAAGACTGCCTGTGAGGTAATATTTGATATTGTTTTTCTGTAGTGGCAAATTAATAGTATTGTCCCAGCAGATGAGATAGTACAAATTTGTTTCTTAAATTGCTGTGGTAGAATTCTGGGTCATGTATTTTATGTTTCTTAGCAGATGGTTTACTCTTCAGTTTTATGTTCATTAAATGTTATCACTTCCTCAGCTGTGTCCTCCTGACAACAGATGTTGCAGCTCGTGGTCTTGATATTCCCAATGTGCAGCATGTCATCCACTACCAGGTAAAATATCTTTGATGTTTTTACTTTTACTATTTTGGTTTTGAAGTAAGCTTTTTTGATAGCAGCCCCAAAGCTATAAAGCTGTGATTCTTAGTCCTGTGTTAAGAGTACAGGGATTTCATCATCTTTAATTTAACTATTTTGTAATGCTTTGTGCTGTTGCTACAGTGACTGTCAGTGATATGTAGTACTTTATGAATGTATGATCATATATAAGAAACAACATAACATAGAAGGTTCTACTTGCTTTTTGCTCAACTTCAAGATAAAAAAGAGTCACGTGGCTCAGCCTTGTAATTCTTTGAGAGTCACAGTTTTTTTTCCTGCTTTGCTAATGAAATGGCAGAGGGCTAGAAAGCTAAGAGGTTATGCCAGTAAGAGTAGTAGACCAGGAAACAGAAACTGTCTCTAGACAACATCTTTCATGCTTCAGCTGTGTTACATGCAGCGTGCCAGGGGTATATTGAAACCAATTTATCGTAAGACCTGATGCTATCTGACAACCTCTTGGTCAAAGTATGACAAACTTCTGCTAACCTCTTGTGACCAGCTTCATGACTGATTTGTCTGAATATTTGCAGGTCCCTCGTACTTCTGAGTTGTATGTACACAGAAGTGGTAGGACAGCTCGAGCTGCCAATGAAGGCCTTAGCCTGTTGTTGATTGGCCCTGATGACCTGATCAATTTTAGGAAAATTTATAAAACCTTGGAGAAGAGTGAAGAGCTGCCACTTTTCCCAGTTGAAACAAAGTATATGACTGCTATCAAGGTAAAGAAAAAAATCTCTTTGCACCCTAAGTAACTGCTTGCTTATTTACATTACTGCATTGCCAGTCACATTCTTTACAAGTTTCAGATGACATTTACTCTTCAGGACCTGGATTTGAAAATGAAGCTAATCACACTTGTCTTTTTTCAAAAATATTTGTGGTTTCTCCTCAATAACAAGCCCAAGAAAGGTGTCCAGATGTAAACGTCACTTACATTTTTTCTTACTTGTTACATAGAGGTGCTTATTACTAGATTCTCAAAAACGATACAGGGCATGAGTATATTTTTTTGCTGAAAAGCTAGGATGGCTCTGTTGAGTTATTTAAAGTCTTTGAATTGAGAACAGACTAGAACAGGACCCTTCATGGTCTCTGTCAGTCTTTTTAGCTAAAGTATTGAGCTGTCTGCTTTTCCTAAACCTTTCCTATGCTGTGAGGCCTCAGCTGCCACTGAAACTTGTCAGAAAAAGGTATCATTACCTTTTCTTTTTTTTTTTCAGCCTATTGCCTGTTTTAAGGAACACTTAGTCATCCTGTCACTCACAGGATGTTTTGTAAATCCTAACAGTTGTACAGTAGATATTAGAAATGTTCCTAGTTACTTAAAAACATGTTCTGGTTGGTGTTTGAATCATGATTTGTTCCTGATGTGTTTGTTATGATGAAAAAACAAGGAACTAACACTTAGATGTTTAGTAGTTGAAATGTTTTAGGAGTCCAATTCCATCATGGACATCTGAAGAAGCTATCTTTTTCAATCATAGATATCTGGTATCACTTTAGCAAATGATGACATCTGTATTATGTAAGGTGTCTACCAGAACAGCAGTAAGGAACTGCAAGATTGACATCTCAGGTGCATTATAATGCACGCTCTCAAACACTGATTCTGCAAGAGTGCCCTGTGTTTAAACTTGATTAGAATATTTGAAATGCACTTTCGTTGCAGGAGCGGGTGAATTTGGCACGGCAGATTGAGAAGGCAGAATTTTTCAACGGCCGAGCAAAGCAACATGACTCTTGGCTCCAGCAGGCTGCAGAGGCTCTCGAAGTTGATCTCGATGATGACCTTTTTATGGGCAAGTAGAAAACCTTGTAATGGGGATACTCAGTTACACCTGTAGCACTAATGTGCAGGGGTACCACTATGGCACAGAAGCTGTTAAACCTTGCAGGGCAGAAGGAGAGGCAAAAGTGTCATTATTTAGCATGCAATATTGCTGGTGTTTTCAGAATGACTGTATAGTAGGTAGTGCTGCAGTCAGGGGGGAAGAGAGGTGTGATTATTGTGGAAAGTCACAGCCAAGTCTACACAGCTCAAGAAAAGAACTGTTTAACTTCTAGTAACTGTCTTGGGATAATCTAACAATGTGGTGTGTGCTGTTTGAGTCCTTTCCCTCTGTGTCAAAGCAGCAGCTGTTTATCCACTCCTGCTTATTGCTCCCTCCACCTGTAGTCTGGCATCAGGTCAGGAGCCTGGCAGTACAGCAACTCTATCTAAACTTTTTAGGATTACTTGGGTAATTAGCACTCTGTTTTGACACAATCCAAGTATTCTGTACTTTGAGATGAATTTCAAAACAGCCCATCTAATCCAAGTTACTTTGGCACTTGAGTGAAGCACTTTGTAATTGCCACCCAGAATCTTGACAGTTATTCCGTCTCTATTTCTCACATAGCTTGTCGGAGACAAATTCAAGTCTCAGCCATGCCTCCCATAAATAAAATTTCTCTCAGAGTGTTACAAAGGACTTATTAACGTCTCTTCAATTTACATTACAGATAACCTTGATTTTGTTTGTTCTTCAGTTTAGGCTGCTGATCCTGTTGATTACTTTGATTCTCTTTTGTGCCCTTGCTTTTATGCTGTTAAGTACAGAGGAAGTTTCTGCTAGAGCTAGAAGCCTCCTTTCTTTTTGTCCGTTCTGGATTGAGAGCCAAGTGAATGCTCTAGCAGAATGATAACCTGGAAGCTTCAGTAGTGAAGTTTCTTCTTGATCTTGTTTTCTTGGTGAACAACATAGGAGATTCAGAAATGTCATACATGACTGGAAGACTGCACTGGTCTTCTTAGTAAGAAGAGATTAGTATTTGCCCCTACCATTGCAAGAGGCTGATGAAACAGACCAGTCTAAGTTCTTTGCGTTGTAACACCGTCTCTGATTTTCTTCCCAAAGGAAAAAAAACTAGTGAGCAAGAAGAAAGCCAGAAGCAAAAGATGCTGAAAGGAATGAAAAAACAACTGAAACACATGCTGTCCCAACCATTGTTTAAGGTCCTTATGAAAACAAAGTACCCAACACAGTCGGGGAAACTACTCCTGCCTCAGACTTCAGCTGGCAATTCAGAAACTGCTCTGAGTATCATATCAAGAAAACAAGCCAAGAAAAAGAAATCAGCAAAATCAAATTAGACTGAGCAAGTTCACTTGTTGCAATGGAATCAAGAACTATCCTTATCAAGACTGACAAGATATTCTACTAGAAAACACACAGTATCAGGATGGTGCTTTTGTCTTAGTAGTGCAGGCACACAGCCAAATGTTTATCTAAAAAGGCACTGCTAGCGTGTAGTTAGTTACTCCTGAATCTTGTCTTTGATTATTTTCTTAGGTTCTTTTTCTTATTCTCTATATTATTAGAGCTTAATTAGTTTTAGAATAGTTCTGTTCATTGCATCTCTTTAAGACACATAAAAGTTACTGGGTAAAACTCACTGCGAACAGACTTAATTTGAATTTTCTTTTAAAGGAAAGGGACACATAAGCTGCCGATAGTGCAGATTTGGCTTGTACTGCAGTTTAATGAGAAAGGCAGCAAATATAGGTAGTGTTACCGACAAGTCTATAGTTCCAGTAATGAGAATCTTTCCCAGTTTTCTTCCTCTGCTGATCTGATTTCTCAATTCTATTACACACCGTCTAATTACTTTAGTCCTTTGTTAATATGTTTCAGAATGTGGGGGGGGGAAAAGTGAAGGTGGCAGTGGTCCAGGACTAATCTTGGGAGATTTGCAGTCCAGGCAGATTTCTCAGGAATGATTATTGCTATAAAACATGTTATTAATTAGTATCTGGGGTTGTCTGTGTTTGAAAGCATATTTGAATTATAACCTTTCTTTTAATAGAAGTGATGTGAAATGTCACTTCTGAAGAGTGTGTCTTCATAATTGTACTTTTAAATCACTTCTACCTTTTCAGGGCAAATGATTTCTAAAAGTATTTTTTTAAGCTATGTCAAAAAAATGTATTTTGAATTTTTGTTAAATTGTATCTACAATAAAACCCAAAGTCTGTATCTTCTTTCAATTACTTGAGATTTCTAAGTTTTTCTTAGCTCATGTCCTTCACACTTAGCAGACAAGGTGAGAGAATTCAGGAGAAAACCATCCAAAAGGTAAGATACAGCAGAGACATCTGTACTGGTGGGAGCACAGAATCTCCACCTGCCAGCACTAGATTGAGCAAAGCACTTGTGTCTCAGGTATGGAACCAATGTCACCACCCTGCTAGGAAGCACACCACTAATCCAAGAGAAGTTTGTGTATGGAATTGCGTCCCCTCCCATCACTTGGTGGTTCTGGAAAAACAAGGTCTCTGCTCCTTTGTAAATAATTGAACGCTCCCCTACTCCTCTGTCTCTGAGAGGACTTTTCTCTTAATTGCCTCCTTGCATTATGGAAGAAGAGCAGTGACCATTTTTATGATAAGCATACAGAGCTTATCAATTTATATGAAGCTTTTCTTTCAACATGCTGTTCATCTGATGTTCTTCAGAGCAGAAGAGGGAGTTTTTGGTGGAGAGGGAGAAAGGAAGAAATTGTAAGGTTCTTTATTCTCACCCACATGAGAAGATGAAACAGCTTTGGAGTCACTGTGACATCTGAAAAACTACATAGTTAAAAGAATGTTCCTTGCATGGAAAGCTGGAAAAAGGAACTGAGCAAAGCCATACACTCCTTGTCTCTCCCCTTCCCACCTTTGTAACATTAAAAATCACATTCTCCCGCTATGAGAAGAAAACTTGGTTGGCTTTCGCATCCATGAAGGCCTGAAGGCCAGGTGGGCCTTTACTGTACCTTGTGATATACTTTTTGCTTCATTGGACAAAATTAAGTCAAGATCCTGACACCAGAGCTTCCTTGTCTGAAAATCTGCATGAGGTAGGACAGTTTTGGCAATTTGTAATTCCACATGATAGCAGCATGAATTGACCTGGAAGATAGGGAGAGTATTATTTCTTCTCAGAGATCATTGCTGTGAAGTTTTTCAGCTCTTGTTTCCTTGTGCTTAACAGCCTAGTTATCACACTCCCACCTCTCCGTCTGGCCCTCAACCCACTGTCTTGCTGAGTCTTCCTAAGATGGATCATGACACTTCTGCACTCCTCCTCACCTTCTTCATGTTTGCCTATGCCATGCTCTGCTGTTGGTTCTCTCCCACACTCTACTGAAGCATTCAACATGAGTTCTGTTCTTAATCTACTGATGCTGCTCCCCTACAGGAGCCCAAGCCATGCTTGGACCCTAAAATATCTGTCTTAGAAAGGATACTTGTCTAGCACCCAGCAAGCTCTCTTTTGATTGCTTCCTTTTCCTTGTCAGTCTCTTACCAGGATACCCTGAATCTTCTACCTATAGGAAGAACCCTAGTCATGTCTTGCAAATTTAAACACACTGTTAAACTAGAAAATAGTACTTCTTAACTGCTCTCCTCCAGTGTGGAATAGGTTGCTGCAGGAGGAAAGGAGGGCAGAGAAGTTGTTTTTTCCAGCTCTGATTATTTGCCAATGTTTTAGTGGTGCAAATTAGGCTTGAATAATTTTATATCAAGCGCCTATGAGGAATTTAATTTCAGTACTTAAAATCTGTAGTAATGAGTTACTTCTGTAATGCTCTACTGGCACAACAGTTATGCTAAGGCTTCAAACAAGTAACGTTGTATTTTGTGGCAGCTTAGGTCTACTAAAATACCCAATAATGAATAGACTACCTAGGTCTGTTTAGGCTGCAAGAGCAATCTCCAAATAGATTAAGACACAAATGCAGTGGAGTACTGGAGGTGGCCAAGTTGGTACAGAGCCACCAGTACCACATAACAGAAAATTGAAACCCAAGTAGTTTCTGAGCCTTCTATGTTGTGAATATGGGAGGCCAGTCAACTTCACACATATCAGAAGAAGGAAGAGTCCCTGTGGTTTGACATCTGCCAAGGACTGTGTTTGGAAAGGAGCTCATACATTTGACAGTTAAGTTTCCTGAACTTTGTAGTGTTCCTCTCTCTTCCTCTGCGTGCTAATGAAACAGCAAAGCAGAAACTGGAGAGCTGCCTTACCACATGCTAGAGCCCTGGCATGCATCTCCCACATGGCATGTGGGAAATAATTTGCACCTCACTGAGAACAGGCCAGACACCACACAATCACCATGCCACCACAGGGAGAGGGTATGTGTGGGGGAAATAGCAATTAAGCAGCTGATCAGGGCAAGTGCCTGCCCTTGCTCAGCTCTCCTAAACCAGCTTGCAAATTCACATCCATAAGGAGGGAAGAAGGAAGCAAAGCACATTTCCAATGATTTCCAGCTTGTGCTCTCTGATGCCAGGAGAAAAAGCTGATAAGAAAAAGTATTCTAACACTCAAGAAAGCACAACACATCCTGTGCTAGCAGGGTCCCTTTGGGGTGCCTAATTCTAGGCTGTCTAGTAAGTTGTTTGATGAAGGAAGGAGCTCAGAAGACCATAAAGTTGAGTGGTTAGCAAAGGACTGGTAATCCAGCAAGCACTGTTAAAGTGATATCCAGTTATCTTTGCAGAAAAGCAGGATGATGTGGGATTGGAACAGAAGAAGAGAACAATAGATAAAAGGCCTTCCTGCTGAGGAAATGGTGCTGGTTTTGTAACCCTCTGTAGATATTTCCCCTCTGATACTAAGGCAATTGCTTGATATTTTCCTTGCCCATGTGAGATTACCTGTTCCAGATTACTTTTGTGAAAGGTATTTAAGGGCACCAGTATTTCATCAATTTAGTCAAAAGCTCCTCATGGGGCCAGCCTCACCAGAATGGATAAGAAAGAGGAAAAGCAGTAATCCATCACTCCTAAGGCAAAATTATTGGCCTCTGAAAACAAGGGAACAGGGCTGTTGCACTTGTTTGTCTTGGAGTTCAACAGCTCTGTGCTGTTAAGCTGGAAGAAATGGAGGCCTGTTTCCAGAGCAACCAACCTGATGGCACAAACTGCCAAATTTCTGTAGGGAATGGCTGCAGTTTCAGAACATTACTCCAAATCCTAGGTTCAAAAATGAGAGAGAGCACTGCAAAGTACACATGGTCTTCGGTACACCTGGTTTAATTAGAGGTATGATGTCCTTTTATTACTGGTGTAATTATAGGAGTCTAATTGGTACTGTGGATACTCCTATACAAGCAGAATTTATTTTCTTTCTTCATGGGAATATCTTCCCCAGTATAAGCAATTTTAGTACTGACAGGAATAGATTAGATTTCTGCACCTGTATTGGCAATGACAGTGCTGTGAGGGGCAAGGTGTAAAGAGGCTGCAGCTGCCGATCCATTTTCCATCTATTTCGTGCTTGTTTACTGCAGTGTTGTTCCTAAGCCAGCTCAAGTGAAGTCACTTCCATTCTCACAGCTCTCAGATGACCTCGCAGCATGATTTTCTTGGCAAGTTTAAAAATCTGTGAGATTTAACTTTGCTGAAGCATTTCATAGTTTCTTTCAACTTGTTTTCCCAGGTTCTTAAAGTCTCCTAAACTCCAGCTGGGAATGAAGCTTGTTCTTGCATGTATTCCCAATCATGTTTATGATGTGTAATGTACCTTTTCTTAAAAGTTTTCAAAAGTCCATTTTCGAAGATCCTTCAATCATATACGTGTGTACACATACATGCAACATAACCTAGTTTTTAGCTAACAGAAAAGAACAGGGAGTTTTCTTCACTCAAAGAAGAGAAGTATGTGCTTCCCAAATAAAAAAAAGCCAACTGGAAAATGTCATGGTGTGTTTCAATATTCAGTCCCAGATAGATCTTGAGGAAAAGATCTGCCTTTAAGCCTTTGAAGCAGAACATGCATGATACCAACTTTCCTTCTTCCCAATTTCACACACAAAGGCAAGAAAAATGACACATTCATTGGCCAAGAAGATTAAGAACAGAATCAAGACCTGAAATTGGAGTGTAAAAAGTTTAGCTTGGTCAAATTTCATGTTGCTTTCTGTTTAAAATACGATATAACCAAATAAACGTTGAGTAATGTTTATCAGGAGCTGTTTAATTAGAAAACAGCACTATCATTATCCCTGCACTTTTCTGTACACAAGAGCCTGACTGTCACAAGTAGCCAGGGCAGCTCTGCTTACCATTAAAAAAAGTTAGTATTCCTCATTTTCCTGCAACACTTCATTTTAAAAAGAAAAAAAAGACAACTGACTCTTGTAGGGCACTGATCTGACAGAGAGGTTTGTGTAGCATATGGCAGTGGCAACTATTCTCATCGTTGCTGTATTTTAACTAAACCCTTCTTTGCACCCACAGGCTGAGACCAGAATTCAGCTTGCAGTGAATTCTTGCTGCCACAACAGTGAAGTTGCAGGAAAAGCCAACCATGCAACATTGGTTTCCTTCTGGGGCAGGCAGTGCTGCAAATAAACATTCCTGCTTTTTACCTTACTTGCATTTATAACTATGCTGTATGCCCTGAAAAGCAAGTCAGGCTCTTGAACGCATGGCACCATTTCCCAGTGCACAGGTAGGCACAGGGATGGTGAATGTGCCCTGCCACAAATGGCCAAAGTGGAGATGGGAGGGAGCTAGCTGAAGGAAGACAAATCTTTCTGTAACATGGTAGTGGGAGAACACATGGTTCTAGCCATCTCACATGACTCTTCAGGGGACTTTATGTGAAAAGTAAACACTCATATTGATGAAATATTTTTGGGTGCTGGTGAGGGACTGGGTTGCAGTGACAGCTTGATGAGTGGTAGCTGCCTGTCTGTGCCAGCTCTCATTATGCTGTGGCACACACACGGCCAGGGCTGCAGTTCCTGCCCGCTCTCTGCACTACAGGCACTGAGCAGAAGGTGGGCTGGAGCCCATTGGGGTGTCAGATCAATAAGCAGGTCTCCTCTCTGCTACATTCATTGACTGTATGTACTTCCAGATTTACCAGGACACATTTTTCCCTACCAGCACTGAATTTTAAGTAAAAAAAATTCACTTTGCTATCAGATTACAGAGTGCATCATGCATTGAAGCAACCAATAATTTGGAAGATCACAGCAATGGGCTCTGTTGTTT